TAATATAATTAATAATAATAATATAGCTAATTTATCTTTTAATAAATTAGCTAATAATTTTAATTATAATAGGGCTATTGAAAATACTAATAATAATGATTTATCTAATTCTAATAAAGAATTTTATTTAGGCACTAATACTAGTGTTAAAAATAAAATATCTTTATATTTAAAAGAAAATCTTACATTAAAAAATGTAAGTTATTTATTTATTATTATATTATTATTATATTATTTTCTATTTTATAATTATATTATTATATTATTATTATTTTATTATTTACTAATTATTCATTTTAATAAAATAAGCCTTTAGACTGGTAGAAGTCTAATTATAATAGATTTCCTATTTTATCTATTTTAGCAAAACGTTATTTAGCTATTCCAGCTACCTCTGCTACTATAGAAAGTGTTTTTTCTATTAGTAATAATATTATAATAAAGGCTAGAAATAGATTAAATTTTAACCTAGTTTCTATATTATATTATTAAAAAGCTAGATAAAGGATTTTAAAGAGTTTAAAAATAAATATTTTAAAGAAAATAACTTAGATTAGCCTATGTAATTATTTTATATATATAGTTTTTTTATTTATTTAATAACTGTTATTTTATTATAAAATAGGATTTTTTTTATAAAATAATTATAAAAATATAATTATTAAAAAATAAAAAAAATATAAAGGATTTTTTTAAATTAAAATAATACTAAAAANCTTATTATTTAAATTCTAACTTTATTGAAGCTATTATAATAAAAATAGTTCTACTTTTATAAAATATATATTATAATTATTATAATTCTATTTATAAAGTTTATATAACCTATAAGCTTAATTAGCTATTTTAATAGTAAATATTTTTATAATATAAAAGCGTTTTTTTAGCTTTAAATAATACTTAGAATTTTACTATTTAAATTATAGCTTTAATTTAAATTATATAATANAAATAATTATAGTTTTATAAAATATAAATATTAATCTTTATAATATACTATAGTATACTTATATAGCTTATAATTATAATTCGTTATTCTAATAATAAATTTTTTTATAATATAAAAGTATTCTTTTAGGTTTAAATAATACTTAAAATTTTACTATATAAATTACAGCTTTATTATAGCTTATATAATAAAATTAAAAATAGTATTATAAAATATAAATAATAAATATTATTATTTCCTTTATTAAGTTTATAAAGCTTATAACTATGATTAGTTATTTTAATAATAATTTTTTTTTATTATATAAAAGTATTTTTTAACTTTAAATAATAATTAAATTTTTATTATTTAAATTATAGCTTTATTATAACTTATATAATAAAAATAAAAATAAAATTATAAAATATATATAATAAATAATATATTTTTATATTTTAATTATATTATTTATATAAAATAAAATAGTGAAATAAAATAGTAAAATAAAATAGTAACATAAAATAGTAAAATTAAATAATAAAATAAAATAATATAATAATATAACAAAAATAATTAAATAATTAAATAACAAATTTAGTAATAAATAACGAATTTCGTTTCTTCTTTCATTAACGAATATAATTTATTATTCGTTAATGAATAACAAAAAAAAATTCATTTCGTTAGTTAATTAAAGAAAACAAACGAATAACGAAGAGTTATTCATTAACAAAATAAATAACAAATAACTACTAACGAATTTGGCAACCCTGATAAAAAGTAATTATAAAAAAAAGAAAAAAGTTAATTTTTATTAATTAGGTATAAGTATAAGTATATTATTAAATAATAAATAAGCTATTTAATAACTTATTAATTAATAAAAGTAAGGGCCAGGGCTTAATTATTAATTAATAAGATAGCTAATAATAGTAATAGTATTTAATAACTTAGTTAAGTTAATAATAGTAATAGTATTTAAAAACCTATAAGTAGTTAAATTAGTAGTAGTAATAGTATTTAATAACTTAGTTAAGTTAATAAAATTAATAAAAGTAGTAAATTATATATAAAAACTATAATTATTATATTTTTCTCCTAAAGCTATTTATTAAGGTTATATTTATTATTAAAAGGGTTAGTAAAGCTATAATAGCTAGGTTAAAGGAAGACTATACCTTAGCTTTTAGTTTAAAATCCAAAATTAATCTATAGCCTAACTTAATTAACTATAGCTAACTAAGTTAAACCTTAAAGATTTAGGCTATAAAGTATAGCTAATTAAGGTTTAAGACTAAACTTAATATATATATATAAAACAGCTTAAATAATAAGGTTTAAATATAACGTAAACTTTAAGCTTTATAACTTATAGTTTAATAACTTAATTAAACTAAATAGGCTTATTATATTCTTCCATTAGGTTATAAAAGGTAGTAATAATTCTATAAAAGACTACCTAATAAAATAATATACTATAAAAGTAATAAACTTCTTTAATAATATAAACAGCTATAGTAACTAAAGGTAATAAAAAACTAACTACAACTATAATTAAAATAATAACTACTGCTATGAAAACTTATAATAAAGATATTATTAATACTATAAAGAAGGTCTACTAAAGCCTAAAAAATAAAAAAGGTAAAAAAAGGTAACCTAAATTAATTATAAAAAAGAAAACGTAGATTAGCTAGGCTACTAGCTACTAGCTGCTAAATAAAGGTTTAATAGTAACCTATTGTTTTAATCTTAGTTAGGTAGTTTATTTTTTATACCTAAGAGAGTTCCTAAAGCTATTTATTAATAATATATAATTAAAAAATAAGTTAAATATAATAAATAATTTATAAATAAAAAAATAAATAAAAAATATTATAAAATTATAAAGTTACTATTATAGAAAGGTTATATTTATTATTAAGAGGGTTAGTAAAGCTATAATAATTAAGTTAAAGAAAAACTATACCTTAGCCTTAAGTTTAAAATCTAAAATTAATTTATAGCTTAACTTAATTAACTATAGCTAATTAAGTTAAATTTTAAAGATTTAGGTTATAAAGTATAGCTACTATATTAAAGTTTAAAACTAAATTTAAAATATATATATAAAATAACCTAAATAATAAGGTTTAAGTATAATATAATTAACTTTAAGCTCTATAACTTATAGTTTAATAACTTAATTAAACTAAATAGGCCTAATTTTTTTATTAGGTATAAAAGGTAGTAATAATCCTGCCTAAAAATAAATTACATACGTAATATTTTTAAAATTAAAAGACTATATAATAAAATAATATACCTTAACTACTTTTTCTTAGTAATAGCTGCAACTTAATCATAACCTAGAATATATAGTAAGATAGCTAAATAAATAACTAAATCTATAATTAATAAAATTATAAACCTATAATTAAAAGCTTTAAAGAAGGAAAGATTAAAGCTAGGCGAAGTAAAGTATAAGCTAAACTGGCTAAAGGGTACTAAGAACCCTAAGCTAGGCAAAACTATTAAGAAAATTATTAAAAAAGTTAATAAAGTAACTTATTAAAGGCTATTACTATATATAAATATTCTTTTATAACTAGGTCCTTTTAAGTAGTTTATCCTCTATACTTAGGAGAAATAAAGCTATTATAAATACTTTTTTAAATATTAAATAGTAATAAAAGGGTTAAAGTACTATAATTAATTAATAGTATATTAAGTTAATATTCTTTTTATTATAATATATTACTTTATTATTGTATATTACTTTATTAAAATAAAAGTAATTTTAAAATAAAAAAAGAGTATTATTAATAATAATAGTAATTTAATAATAATAAAAATAGTAATTTACTTTAACTTTACTTTTATAAAAAAAACTTTATTATACTTTTATAAAAGTTTAATTATACTTTTTTAAGCTATTTTTTTATTTTTTAAATACTATTTTTATTTTTATTTTTATTTTTATTATTATTAGTATTATTATTATTATTATTATTATTATTATTATT